CCTCAAGGGGCAAAGAGCCAAGAATTAGAAGAGTTCTGGAACCAGATGAGAACATTTCTTCTAGGTAGAAAAAGTTATCAAGGGTTTCATTTATTCCAGAAAACGGTTAAAATTTCTGACTTGTTTTCTTCCCTGGGTTTTAACATAAAAAGCTGGATCCTAGCTGGTATGAGAAATTTAACTGAGAAGACAATGTTTTCTTTCCAGTTAGTCTGCAGGGAGTTAGAGCTTCTTCCACATTGGGAAGACAAGAGGTTGAAAGGAGAGTCAGTGCACAATGGACCTGACGCTGGTCCAGTCAACTGGGAGTCACCATTGCCCCCGAGAGGGTACTGACATCAGTTTCAAGATATTCAGAGTCAGTGGAAAGATACGAGCAGAGACCTAAAGAGGTAACTGTAAATATTTAAGTCTTAATACATACTATTTAATCATACCTAGATGTTTGCATTTCTTTAACATTCTGACTTCAAAGGCAGGTTTGAGTCTCAGCTGTCCACCTTCCTGTGGGTGACACTAATATGCAACCATCCTCTCTAAGGTTCTGTTTCCTCATGGGTGACATGGATTTACTTCTTGGGGATGGTTGTCAGAATCAAAAGAAACAATGCACGTGAAATGCATAGCACAGTGCCTGAAACGTAAGTTTACAATAAATGACAAACCATCCATCTTTCTGTCTTATTTAAGTGTAGTCTTCTTTGTCTTATAAATACATGACAATGAATCAGACTAGGACAGTGTCTGTTTGACTATTGTAATCAAGTTGTTTTCTCGTATTTTAAGAAGACACAGCTGAGTGACAAGTCACAGATGCACACTTGCTTGGAGAAGCCCTGGATGAAACCTATCAGGCCAGACCATGAGGTCACTGCTGTATGCCTGGACCCAGCAGATAAGTGCCCTGCAGGTGTGGCTCGTGACAGGAACCACAGCCTGTTTTTCAACTCAGTTGAGATTACTTTTTAAAACTCTAACTGCAGGCAAAGTACACAGAAGTAATTAAGTCTCTTCTCCCTTAGCAGGTGTCCTTGAAACTCAAAGTGAGGAGCAATGGCAAATAGCATTCTTGAGCTTTTAAAAATAATTCTACCTTTAAACCATCATCCTCTCCAATGACTATTTAATGTGATATACATTTAGCAGTATATAGAGTTATAGAGAACTATATTAGATGGGGCTTAAGGATGAAAAAAAAAGAGAACTGGCCGGGTGCGGTGGCTCAAGCCTGTAATCCGAGCCCTCTGGGAGGCCGAAGCAGGCAGATCATTTGAGCTCAGGAGTTTGAGACCAGCCTGAGCAA